TGAATAATTGGAGTGGTTCGCAAAAAGCTTCCTGATATAATGATGTGATATAATTACATTTTATTTTGTTAGCCTGAACCCTCTGAGCTCCTAGCCTGATTACGTATTGCCTAGACTGAAATTAGTTCATAACTTCATCCCTCACTAATTGAAATGCTCAAGATCAAAATTTGCAATCATAAATCGAATTGAAAAGTCATTACCATTTGATAAGAAACATGGGTATCTTTTTGACATATCATTTGATGTACGGTTGATATTAAAGTTAAGGAAAAAACTACTCCTTGCATATTTCAACCTAAAAAACATTCTAAATTCGGAGAAAAAGGTAAAAAATTCCTTCTAAAAATATTCAATATTTTTAAACGATATCCACCTATTCTGAACGCTCACTTATAAATGAAATCCTCGATAAATTTCGTGAGGATTCAGAATTTTAATACGTGAACGTACCTAAATCATTTAAAATGTTTCCTTTTTCGATGTCGCAGAAAACCATGAAAACAATAGACCGGATGGCAGTTGCTTGAGCTGCCTCCAGCCTTCTCAAAAATGGCAAGGAAGGTCAAAATTAGAGTCGTCAAAGTCCAATCTTTTTCCTGGAGTTTTCTGCGGTAAAACTACCTGAAAAGAACGAGACCCTCCAGCTCTACTCTAGAGAAGAGAAGCTGTTTGTTGTAGGGATGGATCTTGTGTTCGATCTCGGTCAGGCCCAAACTAAAAGATATGCGAGGTACAGTAAAGTACATAGGAAGAAAACGGGCGGGAGAACAATCATTTATTTAGAGAGTGAATCTCTAAATTTTTTTTTCAACAGATGAACGGGTTTTTCGTACCTACGCTGTCGTCTAATTTTGTTTAAAACTATTTCCGCAGCCCTATTATTTAAAATAATAAAAATAACGACGTACATTTTGTACGTTTGAACGTTCCTCGGCATCAAAGACAAAATTATTTAGTATCGTAATTGAAAAAGTTTTAGTTTCATTGCAGAGCAAATGAAATTCTTTGATTTTGCGCTGAAATTATGGACCGTTTAACCGAAATTACAATCCAATATAAATTATTAATCCTCTTATAAGCCCGATATGGGAGTAGTATCATGTCCATTGTATAGTTCAAGTCGTATGATATGCTGTCATGTCAAACACAATGTTGTACAAAGTCTAATCCGAAGTAAATCGAACTGTACAAACTTTGGTAGAGTTTCTTCTTACGACCGTAAAATGGAATGAGTTCGCCGTATCCTAAGTACAGCTTTGCCTGAGTCCACGCCAGTTCGGTATGCAGGATCAGACATCAGAAAGTCATCTGTCGGCAGTCAGTAGCTAATTTGCACGACCTCCTGTGCAATTTGCGCCGAACGTGAGCCTCGGTAAGCATGCGAGCTGCATACCTGCGCCGCCTGTCATTACATTTGACCTACCATAAACGTGACTCGGCATTTTCTAAAATTATTATCGAATATGATGGATGTACATTCGGGTTACACGTCTGCGGTAGCGTGAATCAGCTTGTTGAATTGGAAGTAAAAGGCGGCACTGTTCCATAAATTATATTTGTAAATTTGTTTTTTGGTTGAAATTATTTCAAGCCTCTCTGTAAGGTGGATCATACTCACGGCTTTCAAGTCATCGATTCCCAATAGACTAATCTGTTCTTAAACCTTATAATGGACCGGCAAGAATTTATATCCTATAATGTTTCCGCAAGTGCTAACGACAAGCACAGCGTCTCAAATTCTTTCACTTTAAATTACGAGAATCGTAAATTTTAAGGTTGAGCTGACGGCATAGCCATTCTAGTTCATTATGACGTAAGCAATATTGAGCGTAAAATGGATACCTTCACGAAATTACGGTCTCATACCCCCCCCCCCTTCCTTCGATTCGTTCACCTACTTTCATATTACAAAGGGAAGCTTAAACTAAAGATACCAGTCAAATAGTAATCGAAGTGTTAGCAATAGTGATTTTTTTCAAATGACGGACTTATCGTTGACCTAGTTGAACAAGACAGCAGTTTATAAGACTAAGTTATCAATCAAATTCTAAGCCTTACTTCACGACAAGTTAATAATCAACTCCTATGCTGATAAAGCACTAGGCTAGTTAGATATTTTCTCTTGTATTTTTTCCCATTCAGAACTATATATATATTTATAGTAAGCAATAAATTTTCTTATTTATATCCCGTTTTAAATTCGTTTAATTAAATTAATTAATTTGTTACTAGTACCTATAAGTTTAAATGAGCTCTATATTTATTTACAATTTTTTAGTCTATTTTTCAATGAAAATTAGGTTTAATTTATTAATTATAAATCCAAAATGGCTTTATTTCAATTCAGTGAATTTTCATTGATATATAAAATATTATCAGTTTAATGTTTAATAACAGTATTCCTGTTCTTGAGTTCTAGTTGTGTTGTTTTTAGTCCTGCTGTTCCCCTAGAGATTTGCCCTCCGGAGCTTCAATGTCCATCAAGATCAGGTTTACTTCTTCTGGCCAATCTTTGCAGTCCCGGCGGGTCCCCACAAACCAAATCAAGGGCCTTTGCCGCTCAAACACCCCCTGATTCTTAGGCTTGGACCCGGCGATCGCGTAAACCTATTGAAATGACAGTTCAATTTTTTGCTCAGGTTTAATATGTGCATAGGAAATGGCCGATAACGGCAAACAATTCCCCGAGATCAAAGCTTTTTTCAATATCCGCCAGATATGTCAACGAAAAAATCGACATCGAGTATTTATTGGCGCAACTTTCCCACAGAAATTCAGAGGGAAATTTAATTTTGCAGCGTTTTTTTATTTGCATGGATCATAAAAATTTAAAATTTTCCATACAACCGGCCGATCAATTGGAAAACTTGATTCAACGATAAGAAATTTTTTTAATTCTAAATTCACAATAATTCTTACTAGATTACTATTTTTAACTTGCTTGCCCATAAAAATTATGCTCGCAAGAAATTTAAAATAAAACCGGAGAATTGAGAGAAGAAAGAATTAGGAATCAGATCATTGACCAGAAAGCTCATACCGAACATCATAATAAATATAAGAATAAGTACAGCGAACTACCAGCTTTGAAGGAAGGTGTATTCCATATCCTAAATTGTTGGTCAGAAAGCACTTGTTACTCGTGCTATACTCGGTCAATCCCCAAATCCTCGCAGACCTTCCATTGTATCTCGTCAAGCCATTTTAATTCGATCAAAATAAGGAGGTTTCTACTATAGCAATCCTCGAAAACTTCATTATGATGCCACAAGAAAATATTTTTCAGTAAGAAAATACAGCTTCTCATCAGTGTACAGTGGCAAGAGATTCATGCGTACTCGATGAATTACGCTGGATGAGAAATGCATTATGTTTCTTCTCATCGTTATGTTGAAAAATTTACAGAAAAAACTTTTCAATGTAATGTTGAAGTGTTCTTGGTTACGCTTTTGATAGCTTTTATGTTCAAAAGATGTAATGCAGCTGAAATTGAAGTCAACTGAAGATTATTCCTTAAATTTTTCCCAAAAGTGGTTATTATAACGTAGAAATCAAATATGTTTTTTCCGAAATTTCCTTAAATATATAGTTTAGATTTATGCACAAAAATTTTTTAGAAAACTATATGTTCATGTTGAGATTAACAGTTGCATTATGACGCGAAAATGGTTAATTATAAATTTAATATGGGAAATTTCAAGCACTAATGTTTATGGATTTCCTCGATAACCATATGTGTTTTCAAAACTTATAATTAAAGCCCATAATAATGTTTCAATGTAACCCAGGAACATTCGTGTTCTCATTCGTAATTCGTGATCTTGTATTGAATGCAGATGAACAGCATTTCCCGTTAAAGTTCAACATATCCCTTATTCTGCTGCTTAATTCCTCATAAAAATACAAATACTTCTTACCGCAAACTTAAAGATTACTGAAATTATGCTTACCCTAGTGAAAGCTTATAATCAGCAACTGTAAAAAAAGAACTCTACTCGATTACGCAAGCTAGGAGTCACGCGAGTGCCCCACGTTATAATTAAATCCATAAAGTCGTGAAATTCGCGATAAACGGTGGCTGTGAATCAGCAGCATTTACACGCAAGCTTCTATAATGGCGTCTCTTCAAATAATGCACTAACTTCACGTTTTTCTTTCAATACATTTATTTATTGTTGAATTGTTATCTAAGTTATTTAATAAAGCCAACAAATACATTTCGAAATACACTTAATTTCTTTCGTGTTAAAAATGTGTCAATATGGTAACCATATTTATATGCTTCTGGACAATCTAGAGGTCAAATAAGAATTGCATATTTTGAAATGCACATCAGAGACTTTTGATACTCGTCTCTGTCAAAACATTGCAACTTGTGCAGCCATCTCTGTACAGTGTACACCCTGTGACTTATGCAATACAATCTTCATTTTCATATTGCCAATATTGTTTTCTAATAATCGTTCCACCATTAATTACCCAAAAATAGGCTGCAGGTCATATTGAATGCAATAATAGGCAATAGTACTACTGTATATTTAACAACATAGTTATAGCCTCCATAGATGTCGAACTCAGATTAGTAACTTTGACAATAAGTATAGAAATCGAATAAGCAATACATATCACTAATGAAGTAAACCAGATTTGATCAATTTTATGTATTTAATGAGACGTTAACAAGCACCTTCGATCGGCCGCATCGAGTCTATAGCCTATAGGGAAGTCGAGGTTTGCATATACAAAGTATTATTAAAAGAAGCTGACTTTTACGAGTTGCGTGATAGGGTGACTAGATATAATCTAGTCAATTCTTAAGACTTTACGACTTGAAACATTTTTTATTAAGGTAGCTATTGCGGTTTAAATCTCTATCGAAAATTATAACTTCGTAAGCGAAGGCTCACCATCGTCCGTTCATCAGGGGTGTGTGTGTCACCAACGACGTTGAGTTTGAAGAGTATCCAACACACACTCAAGAGAATTTTTTTGTTACTGGAAAAAATAATGAAAACCCCAAAAAGATCACGAATTTGACAATGAATACAGTGAACTTATAGACCAGACAAAGGCTCCCTCATTCCTGTATTGCAAAAAGCACAGGTTCACGAAAGTAGATACATGCTAGTTCATAACTCATTGATCACAAGACTATTATATTCAAGCAACTTCAAAAACTTATTAGGCATCAACATTAAGTACGGTTTGGCTACTTCGAGAGCCGGTTTCTGCATTAGCTACTCAAATATTACTTCATAAGCTTATAAGCACGCTCTGAAACTGAACTCGACTGAGCGAGCAAGACATCAGGCACGAGCCTGAAGTTTTCTTTACTGCGAGAACAATAAAGTGAGTTGAATTAGAGTCGCTGGGAGCAAACTTACAGAGATATAATGGCTGGAGTTTTGGGACACTTCATGCGACACTCCAAAGCGCGGCAGGACATCGCGAAGAGACGCGAGCAGATCAAGGCAGAGCGCCAGGTGGGTGAGACTTTCTTTCGTGTAAAGTGGAGGTGGGTAAGTCGAGTTTTATATTTCATTTAGCTTTACAGAATTTAATAACTTTTTTAGCACTTTTTTTCTAGAAAGAAATCTAGCTGATAAAATCAAACGTAGCTAATTTCGGAATCAATAATTGGGAAAATATATGAAGTATCGGAAATTAGCAATTGCCATCAAATTATCAAGTCCACAAGACTGCCAGACGACTGTTTATTACCATGGCATCTATCAATCACCTTTGATTGCTAGGTCATCACTGTCAGTAAATTAGCATTCTTAATCTGGACTTACCAAATTATTTTGCAAACAAATTTACACAAACTACCAACTTATTCCCTGAACTGAATATCCCCGAACTTAGCTCCCGAATGGAATATTCACGGGCCGGTCTCTCAGAATCTGATCAACGGAATATTGCTATTCCGTGCCTTGGAAAACTATGAATTATTCATTTTTTAGCAACCGCTCGCTGGAGCCAAAACGACATTCGCTGGACCCGTAAAGCTTGTCACTTGCTGGTGGAGCCCAAGTGATTTATAGTAACAATACTAAACTGTATGAGAACAATATAACTAAAGTGTAAAAGGAGTGCGCGCGTTCCTGTAAAAATAAAAATATAATAAAACGGAGTATATATACGCGTGTTTCAGTACCAATTTCTTCAGATGAGGTCGATGATCGTTTGCTGCCACACAATCCAGTCATTTTGGATAAGACTTTGTTCATCAATTCTTCTTCTGACGAGCATTGCACAATCTGAGACATCAGGGAAGTTAACCAGGTTATCTGGTTAACGTTTAATCATTGTTAAAAATCACCAAGCATTGTATTTAACCGAAGTTGCCAGCAACGCGACGTTATTTTTACAACCCAACATCGTTTCAAGCACGGTGTCTCTCATGACCAGTTTCTACTTATGTGAGTAGAGTTTTACAATACAAATTATTGAATAAAAATTATAGCAACGATGTTCTTTAGGACACCCGAGGTCTGGAAAGATTATTAATTATAATTAGCAAAAATATCTTGAAATAGCGCAAAAATTTCAAATTTAGGCCCCGTTAGTTAATTGTCGAGTTGTAAATATTAGCTTGATATAAGAAATAAGAGAATCTTTAAAAAATTTAAACCGCATTGTAATCTTATTTCTCCTTAGTTGCTCATCTATCCATAATGAATTCTCCTTAGTCTATAGGTAATGGTGGAGGGGCAATAATGCTTCAGCCAGGTTCTGCATTCATGCTAAACTCGCATAATGCTGCTGGAATGGCCAGCGTTGCAGAATAGCTCAGAGGCTACATGTGAATTAGCCTTGCCTCTCTTAGGCTGACGAAGCCAGCGTCTTCGGACTGAATAAAAATGTAGAAATATTTTTATTTTCCCGTTCCGACAATTGAATGATTGCAGCAACAAATTAAAAACTTTTAAGAGTATAAAAGGAGAATTGTGGCAGCTGTTTATTCACAATTTTTTGCAACCGAATTGACTTCCAAGCACATTTGGCGAACGAATTTTCGTTAATATCGTGCCTATAATCACACGGTAAAAAATCTCTTGTACTTTATATTGCAATCAATCTCGCATAAATTTGTTCAAAACTCTTACAATATTCCAGCATTACTGATGGACAATGTTGGGTCGAATGAATACAAAAATGTTTCTGCCAACAAAAATATTTCTCATTTTAAAAGACAATATTTTAGTTCAGAGCATCAATGTTGCAGGGTAAAATTGTTTCTGGCGCTCCGAAAAAAAATTCCATAACAGGATGAGAGGCATTGTTCGATTTTCACCGCGTACTAATTTTTATTGCAAAATCTGTTCGATCTTCAGGTTATTTCATAAAAAACTAGCATGTTGATTCCAGTTGATTCCGTTGTACATGAAATTATTGGTTATTGGGGCCGCAGAAAAAAAGGCATTAGTGCAAAAAATAAGGAATAATAAAGGTGCTTGCAAAAGGCTAATAGGGAATGGAGTGTCTGCAAATATAATACGGATGAGAAGTTTGAACAAAGATATACAGAATGGGTTGTTTTTGCGAGGACAATAGGGAATGTAGTTATTGTGCAAAATAATTTGGAATGAAGTGTTTATGCAAAGATAGTGGGAAATGAGGTGTGAGCTCCACGCACACAGAGCAATGTGTGGAGGTAGAGTTGCAGAAAATGCGTTAAATAAAAAGGATGAGTAACCGATGAAGCAGGAAAATTTGACTGATACATTATGTATTAAGGGGTTGGTATTAACAATATCCTCGTTTACGGCTATTCTAAGTACCACTAATGGAATAATTGAATTCGACAGCGTCGTATCTTCGTAAATAAGCGTAACGGCTATTTTTCGTCTGTGATTGATTGCTTTAGTCAGAAAAGCCGGCTGACAGAGTTACAAACTCGCAACTGTTTTTGACAGTACGGCCCATGATCACGTTTGCAATTATTGACTATCTTAGAGTTTACCGCCATATTGGGTGCTCAGCGGAGCTACTAAATATCTCCATCAAGGACAATGAGACTACTGCCATCCTTCCCACTTAGCGAACTAATAGAGGAACTGCCTGAATTAAAGGAGTCTTATGAAGCCAGCCTTGCCGTCGTTCGGCAGTCTCTTGATCATGAAGATCTGTTCCTGTCAGGGAATCATGGATTTCTTTAACGAGAATTATTTATTTTTAGATAACTACTTTTTCATTTAAACTTGAATTTTTGAACTTCTACTTTGTTTCGTCTATGGTAAAGTCGATGGGAGTTTTGTATTTATTTTAATTTTGCGCTTTTTGTTGCAAATTTTCCGTTTCACCTACGGTAGTTTACATTTTTAATGGCTGTCCGCAAGCAAGATTGGCTTCGCCGAAATGATGCGACTGTACAGCGGCATGACTCACATCAGCCTTTATCGCCCAAGGCTCCAGTTAATTAAATTCCGCACCGCCCCGTTGAAGACAGCTGGAATGGCTGCTACTACAATACCTGTATATGCTGAAACAGTCATCAATGGATGTATTCATCTTTGTTCTAACATCCAGAGTTTCGCAGGGCTCTTATGTTATTTCTTTTATGAAGAATAAATTATTGTCGTTCCACAACCGATGAATTCTGCCTATTCTTTGTTCATTGTAGTATATTTATAAGTAAGCGATTACAAGCCACTAGCATTTATTGCAAGCTCAAAAAATAATGAGCAGCGAATTGTCCGCCCTCTCCTCCTCCGGCATTTTTCCAACAATGATTTTCGTTCCCGATTGCTTTTCGCTTACTCATCTCTGCTCCATGGACAGCACCTCGCAGCGTCAGGAGTAGTTCTTGCGGGAGTGTTCTGGTTCGCTGGAATTTGGCGCCGTGCTTCTGTAGCGACGAAGATATCGGCTGGTGAAATCGGCGTGACATTGCACTGTCTGCAATGCAGCGTTGGTATTCCTGGATACCGGAGCCTAATTGAATGCGGCAATTACTGTCCAGACCGACGATGTTGGGAAGAAGCATTGGTCACGTCTGAGAATTTTTCACTGGACAGTTCGGTGCTACCTTGCCAGAATTCAATGTAGGGAAGGTCAGCGAGCCGTGACTTGGAGGCTTCTTTGAAGCCGAGTTAGAACAGAGATCTGATCACCTCAAAGGCTTAGGTTCACCGTTTGCAGCACAGGATCTCATAGAAGATAACTTGTTCACGAGCAAATGCATGGTTCGTGTTCAACCTGACTATTTTCAATAAAGCGGCAGGATTATAAATTTGAATGCAAAACTAAACGAACCGTAAATTGGGATACAGAATCTCGCAAACTGTATAACGACGAACATAATTTCAGGAAAATTTGACAGGAATACGAAATCTTCATGTTCATACAGTACAAGATTTTCGGGACTACTCATCAGTATCTTACAATATCTGGAACCATAAGTCGAAAAGTTAGAATGTAAGTGATCGTTTGATGAAAATGAGGAATCTCAGAAACTCAGCGTCTAAGCAAAAATATCTGGAGTTGTAAGCTAAAATCATAAATCCACAAACACCAGTGTAACAGAGTACGGAAATTATCTATTATAAAAAGTGCCTTGATGTTTAAATTAAATTGTTAGCATTAATTGATTAAATTGAACTTTGCATGCAGGCGCGGAGCAAGAGTGGGTCCGTGGACACGGTCCCCAAAGGTGCCCCACCCACCCCCTGCACCAGCAGTATGACCTCATCGTTACCCTGGACCTCGTGAGTACTGGGCGTCTAGGGTAACTGGGAAGAACAAGCACCTGCTATACGAATAGCAAAGCTTCAAATATAATCAAGTAGCAACATTAGATCAACATATCAGAAAAAATTTTGTGCATTACTCAAGCTGTAGTATGTTGAGCTGAAATATTGCTTGATGATGTAGGTTTAAACATTGTAGGCAATGATGAGGTTCACAATATTTCATAACTTCGTTTGTAATGTTGATGGTTGCAGTGAGTTGTGGCATTACTAGCTTTGGGCTGCTAATACACTGTCTGCAGTGTTATAATTTTCAACAGGTACTACTTTGGCCAAACTATACGCTGGTCGTGGTGAACAGCAATATTTTACACTGTTATATGAGTCACAATATAACTGGTTGAGTCTGACAGGACCATAACTGGTTGAGTCTGACAGGAACATAACTGGTTGAATCTGACAGGAACATAACTGGTTGAGTCTGTCAGGAACATTGCTGGTTGAGTCTGACAGGACCATAACTGGTTGAGTCTGACAGGAACATTGCTGGTTGAGTCTGACAGGACCATAACTGGTTGAGCCTGACAGGAACATTGCTGGTTGAGTCTGACANTGGTGGTGATGTGGGGGTGATGTGGTGGTGATGTGGTGGTGATGTGGTGGTGATGTGCTTCCTGGGGCAGCATCACTACGTTGGGTGATACAATGATGCGGTGGTGATTATCCCTCTTTTGCTATGCCTCTTAAAATTATAGTGCATCAAGCAGTATATTACATATCTTTCTAAAACTCAAATGTCAGTTCATGTTGTCAGGTACATATAAGTGACCTCTTGAAGTGTGTTTCACAGAACATTTCACTGCAAACTTCAAAGTATATTTCTGAAACATTTGATCTCACATTTCACGGAGTTTATCAGTTAATATATCAGAGAATATATTAGCTTTTATATCACTGAGTATTTAAAAATGGCATCCCACAGAGCACACTTTAATTAGAGTGTGCCTATAAGATGTTGGAGCATCGCAATCTTTGCATGACATGAACAAGACTTTGTCAAGATGGTGATGTAATTTTTGGCCCGGTGTGGGTCAACCTGGCCCAGTTTAACCCGGCGTGACAATAATACGAGCAGAAAGTGTGTTACTATTGGAACAATATGACCCATTCATTGTCTGAGTGTAAAATTAAAGACACTCGGCATCGAGATCAGCGGTAGCCTGGTCCACAGTTTGATTAAAATGAAGATAAACTTTTATGTCAATGAGATATTAATTATTTTAAATGTTTTTCAAGTTTGAATTGATATTCTGGTTCCTGCTGTATTCATCCCTTCCACTTACGAAGCTTTCTCGAAATATTCTAACTAGATAACCAAAATCAAAAAATCTGATTTCTAAATCCTGAAAGAATAAACTCCAATGGTAATATCCAATAGAACGGAACAATAAACAAATATCGAGTGATTGTTAGACATTGTCTGGGTCAATAAGAAATCAAAAGCGGGTCTTTTTGAAGTTGGTAAAAATGAACCTAAAAGAATAATTACGCAGTGAATTAGCCAGCATATTAATTTCATGCTTCAAACTAAGCTATTCAATTACGTCCATGTCGTAATTGAACTTAGGTAACCCTAAGGCTTTATAAGAATACGGTTCGACCATAAGCAATATTTTCCTTTATTCTCATCGGGAACATGACGGTTGGCCTCCGCTAATCCACCCGACGATTTGTGATAGTGTCACATAAAATTAAATTATGTCAGCAATCAATTATTTTATCGAGGAAAAAATTATAGGTCCTGGAGGCGTGCATTGGTGCCGAGTTTATTATGCAGTCTAGCGTCACATGGAGCTGAAGGTCAATGGCTGGCAGAGTAGGAAGTTCGATGCGAATAATACATTCAATTGATATATCATTGCCTCAATAATCCTGGATGTCGATCATCCCACTTGAGTTGTGCTGTATAACGTCGGGCGGAAGCGGGATTTATAACTGAAATTTGCAGGTAGTCAATGAGAGGCTGGGAGATGCCCAGCGCTGATACTAGATTAATTACTATTTTCGTTTTTAATATATAAGATTTTTAATGCTGACTAATGAAAGGAACAAGATATGAGTGCGTTCATTCAGAGCAGGTAATAAGTTAGCTGAATATAATCACAAGCGGTGCAAACATTCGAAGATAAAATGTTGCGAGATGCTTCTTCTACACTTCATTTCGAATTTTGGTAAACAAAAAATGGAAACAGTAATTTGCGTTGATAAGGTTTAATAAGTAACATTTTGTTTTTGCAACTCTTCGATTTAGAGACGACATTATAGTTCCCGATAATTAACAGGCCGCGTGCCATCATGTTGTTGCTAGGGCCTCGCTGGCTCTGGAGTGAACCCACTGCTGTGGCATTTTAACTTAACCAGTTAAATGCTGAGTCAACTATTCTGTCTGTAATGGCCGAAAAATATAACGTACGGCTACAGGTGCACGCTTAAAATCATATAGATATTATCATGATATAGATAACATATTTTTATTGTCGTCGAATATTTAAGCGTCTAACCATTACTGCGGTCTGCGACTCGCAGCGTTAAGCACGAAATGATACAAACCTCCTATAATGATCAGCAGATTTATAATATGATTTATCCTCGCAAATTACGGTTGCGATCAGCTGGTTAATAATGCAGCTGACACCCACCAGCACCAGTGAGATCACTTCGCCAGCATCGGATTGACATTTAAGCAAAGGTTGAACTGAGAGCGAGGCTTGCATCGACCGGCGAGCAGGAGAACAAATATCCCCAGGCCAAAAGAACAAAGATTTTCATAGATGGCAGATTATTTTCGTCTATTTCAATAGAGTATGTTGTTCTTTATTATGCATGTTAGTGGCATACAATCTTCACAAATTGTTCTTATCCTACATATGCCATGTTTAAATATAATTTTTAATATAAATCAGACGAACGTTGCGAAAAATTACAATTTTATAACAAAAGTGAGAATTAATTATTTGTAATCACTATTCAACAACAACAAATGAAGTAAAAATTTCAGTCAGGAAATTAGATTGTCGTTAATTTTGAAGTTATCAAATAAATCATTACAAAATATTATAAATAAGATGATTAACATTCAAAGTTTATTCACTGCCCCTGAAAATGGCTAAGTTAATACAACATCTAAGCCCTTAATGAACAGATCCTCTCCCTGACGTATTCATATAAGTAACTAATGGTTATCTGTTCATTGTTGTTTTTTTAAACAAGTAGTTAATGGTTATTTCTTTTTTGTTGTTTTTTTCAAACAAGTAACTAATGGCATACCATTAGTTGTTTCATATTCTTACTAGTAAGTAATGGTTATCCGTTACTTGTGGTTTTTCAAATGAATCTCATTTGTTATGCAGATTCTGAGCTTCGTAAACTGGTGAGCGGAGTTTCGACGTGCGCCGATGGAACTATAGAATTCAACGAATTCCTTCAAATGATGAGCAAAAAACTTAAAAACATGGGCGACGAAAACGAACTCAAAGAAGCGTTCAAGTGAGTACTTATTGAACAATATCTGTTGATTATCTCTTCGTCTACGAAACTTGGGATGCGATCAGGTGACTACAGCTTGAACACTGTTATCCTGGAGTCACTCGCTCGACGAATTAGGCATGAGTATTCATGTGAGTAATCATCGAGCAGCATATATTTAAGTCTTCAGTACAGTTATGACAATTATTTCCATACCTCTTACGATGATTATTTACTATTCATATTTTGTTCACAATTCTTTTTTCCACTTTATGTCAAGTCTTTTGATGTTGGAGGAATGAGTAAGGCTTCCTAGAATATGTAAAATTCCGTACTAATAATGCTTTCGTTGGCAAATCTTCAACATTAACATATTTGTAAGGCATCATATAGAATTTTAACGGCGAGTCCTTTCCTTCGCATTCATTCTCTAAATTTCTAAAAGCCTTGGCATTCGTCTTCTATCTTGCGAACGTTTTATTTCCACCTACAGTTGATATGATAAAATTACCTTAGTTTTCTTAAAAATTTCCCTGAACTGGAGGAATTTCTTCGGCTGTTTTTGACAAGAAGAATTCTGAGGTACTATAGAAATTTCCCACTACCCTAACAACATTCGGAGACCGCATAGGCTTCGGCCAAGTAGTCACTACACTCGGCGCAGTACGTTATTCTGGGTCTGCGTGGCCACCCGATCGAAATCAGTTTCTAGTCAGAATCTCCTTTCCGGCTTTATAGTCGCCTGAGAGTATGACAAGGGTTGGCCGAACCGAGTCATACCGAACCAGCAAGCTACCCAGATGCTGCCCTTCGAACCCTGAGCGGACTTAGAGAAGCTATAATTTACGTGCTCCCGGAGTCCTAGGCGGCCCTAATGCAGGGTTGCTCACGCATCTAAATGTTGTTAGGGTAGTTTGCTTAAGAAATACTCTGAACTGAGGACATTTCCTCAACAGAGTCTTTGACAGGAAGAACTCCGGGTTTCCATATAAATTTCGCCCTAGTTTGCTTAGAAAATACCCTGATCTTGGGACATTTAATTCCTGGGCAGAATTTTTACGAAGAAGAACTCAGAGTTTCTACATAGATTTCGCCCCTAGTTTGCTTAAAAAATACCCTGATCTCGGGGCATATCCTCGGCAGATTTTTGGACGAGTTGAACTCGGAATTTCTACATAAATTGCGTTTAGTTTGCTCATAAAATACCCTGATCTTGGGACATTTCCTGGGCAGAGTCTTTTACAGGAAGAACTCCGGGTTTCCAAATAAATTTCACCCTAGTTTGCTGAGAAAATACCCTGATCTTGGGACATTTCCTGGGCAGAGTTTTTGACAAGAAGAACTCGGGGTACCTGACCTCGACGGAGCTGCGGCACGTCATGACGTCGCTGGGGGAGAGACTCTCAGAGTCTGAGGTCGACGCCATGATCAAGGAGGCGTCGCCCAGCGGCGACGGCAAAGTCAACTATGACGGTCAGATTGACTTTATATTGTCAATATTACTAATCATAACCTATGTATAACAAATATAAATAGGTTAAGGTTATTAGATTGATAAATACATCATCTATTTATGAGTTTCATATCTATTTTGTGTCCCCGGAGCTATAGACGTTAAAACAACGTAGATTACGAGCTTACTTTGTTGAAACAACGCTTAAGCAACGTCATTTCAACGTGATATGTCTTGTGGGATATTAATGTTAGACGTACAGCTTTCTTAACACATTTATCGTAATTCTTTGTCATCAAAAATTTATTACTGCACGATCAACATTGAAGGTCAGATCAAGTTGCCTGAGTTTACGTAATGGCAATATTACATTCTGATTATAATATATTATTGAATGGTAGGCTTCTTAACTTTTTGCCGTCACAAAGAAGTGACGAAAAGGGGAACTGTGACTGTCATGAATAATAATTTAAATGTTTACTTCACACATTATTCAAACCTTACTCCTTATTACGGTAATTATTGCATAAGAATAGCATTGCAGAAGGGTGATGCATTCGTAAACTAATACCTGAATAAAATACTTAAAAAAACTTTTTAAAAAACCATGTTTTTCTTGTGGACTAAAAAGTAGAAAATAAATTATGGCTCTCCACGTTTTTTGGGGCGAGCCATAATTTATTTTCTACTTTTTAGTCCACAAGAAAAACGTGTTTTTTAAAAAAAAAGTATTTTTAAGTATTTTATTTTCTCCTTTTTAGTCCGTTGCTGCACGGACTAAAAAGCATGAATTGACGTACGTATCGATGATACGCAGCGTCAGCGCCTGCTCGTCTATAACGTCAGCACCCGCACGTCATACTATATATATATTTTTTCTCAATTAAGCTAATTTAGGTCTCTAATTGCTAGTTTTTATGATTGTATCTGAAATTGTTAGGCGAAAATAGCCTGCATGCCGAATTTCAGATCTCTAGAGCAATCAGAAGTGGGCTAATTTTCGTTGTCAATTTTAACAACAAACAAACAAAGGCGAAGCTAAGCTAAGAAAAACGTTTTAAATAGGCTCTTTTATGAACCCAAGTGTTGACGAAAGGCAACATATTTCAGTTAGATGCTGTTCTTTAAAGGTGAAAAACACTGTTAATTTATAAATAATATACTTCAAAACTGAACCCAAAATTTTGAATGCAAAGCCAACCAAGGAGATGTGCTACATTGTCCAGTACACAAAATATATAGACTATACGTATATGAAAGTCTTACATACACATTATTCAAAAAGACTTGCACAAACAACTGTGATCGGTCGTTGTTCCACATTGTGACCACATGCTAAACCGAAAAGTTAAAGTTCCCTAATGCGGCTATGTAGTTTATTCAAGCTCATCATTCAAACCAATTATCAATCAGTTCATTATTTTTCATGACATTAATTGATAAGTAATTAACACTGTATAAACCGTTTTTTTTGCAGACTTCGTGTCGCTGATCGCCCGGAAGCACTGAGCAGACCAAACGCCAGATGCGGCGGTCGCCTACTGCTAGAGTGGATGCTTATTTCCCCTTGAAATTATATGGAAGATCGTCCAAACCTTTGCGGTTCCTCAAGTCAGAAGAATATACGGGATACGTGCTTGTAGAATACGAAATCACCTGCACAGATACGAGAAAATGTGTACGAAAACCGGGTAAATAAGAGTGAAGACAGCAAAGGCTTGTGTTCGAACGCCGGAGAACCATGCATAAGAAAATCAAGATGCATTCGAAGTATTGAGAAACGGTAGTAAAGACAGCAAGATGCATTCAAATCTTTTAAAAACTAGTCAATGGCAACAAAATGTGTTCGGCGTCAGAGAAAGGTTAAGACAAAAGCAAGTATACAAAGCAAGAAAGACAAAGAAAATATGTAAGGTGCGTAAGATAAACGTAAAAACGACGTACACGAGAAATTAAAGCTTCCAGATATATATATGTTCCTATAGTTGGCGCCAGAAAATAAGTGCAAAGTTAAACCAATCAATCATGGCAAAATGTCAATATATGAAGAATCAATGCTCTGCTCAGAAACAGAATGATGAATCGTACGATGATATGACGGCTAGAGATGGGATACAATCATGGCATGGCGAACATCGTCATGTCTGTAACAGATTTTTCGCCGGGTTCGTATGTTTTTGCAGAAGTTCACGAAAAACGGAATCACAATGAAAATACTAGCAAAGCCTCATCAGTATTAAAAGCCGTTAGTATATCGCCCATTATCCCAACATGCAATTTAGCAAGGGTACTTTTAATACTTTAAAAACCCTAAAAAACACGGCAAGCGTTGAAAAAACATTCCGGATCCTTTTCTTTGTTCCCAGGAATTCTTTCTACTAATTGCGGTGATTGACATTTACATCGACTTTGTCATTCAGTCTTCTTTTGGCTGCAGCATTGGCAATTATAATTTACCGACTCGGGAATAAATAACATCCGTGAGATATGAAGCAAATAAGTTCCAGGCCTAAATTATTTCACTGAATTGAATAGATTTTTCGTAATTATCATTACGACCACGAGTAAAATTAATCCTGGACTTCATCATCCAGATGAGTAAGCAATGAATATCCCCCGGGGAATGAGGGAATGAAGTTAGTGGGTGAAAGTTATTTTTTGGTAAAATCGAACGACGTTCGTATGTGAGGGTAAATGTAGCTAGTGGGTGATAGGGGACAATGTACGCGGGTGAGGATGAACGAAATTCATCGGAGTGGGTGAATGAAATTTTTAAGTTAAGATGAATGATAATTGTGCGAGAAGATGAATGACATTGTTGGGTTAGGGTGAACGATATTTGTTGGAGATGACGATATTGGTGGGTTAGGGTGGACGATATGTGTTGGAGATGGCGATATTGGTGGGTTAAGGTGAACGATATATGTTGGAGATAACGGTATTGATGGGTTAGGGTGAACGATATTTATTGGAGTGGATGCACAAGTAAGTAGGCGAGGATAAACGATATTCCTGGCTCTAGTAAAACGAAGTTAGTTGATAGGAGTGAAAAATGTTCGTGAGTAAGAGTGAAATATTTAAAGTGGCGGTCCGAAGTGGCGGCTTGAAAAGCAGGTATAAAGTGGTGGTTTGAACGGCTGATTTAAGGTGTTTATATACATGTTTTTAATGTAGTTGACAAATAAAGTGGTTGCTTAAAATGGTGGCTTAAAATGCGATTCAAAATAGCGATGCTATTTCAATTTTAATTCAATTCAAATTGCTCATACCACTATTTACATAATTTAAAAATAACCCAACTTTTCAATCCAATTTTTATATGATAACAATGAATGGAACTTTCAAGAAAGAACAGTGCCTACAAAGATTTATAAGCATTGTCATAAATGAGATACGTGGAGATATAAAGGAGAAAGGTTGATATTGTATTAACCATACAAACTGTAGAAATGTAATGCAACTTTTCACCATGTGCAAGTTAAGATAATGAAAAGGAGCATGGGTTACAATGAACGGCGAATGAAAAATGAGAATGTGACTTTTAAAAAAATGTTGACGATAATTGAGGCGAAAAAATTATTTGTAAGGAGAAAATTTTTCTTCCGCAGCCACTTTTAAAATGGCTGCCCTGAAACTGCTTTTATAGCTCGGAAAATATCTATTTTTAATTTAACACTCCTGCATGAAAATATATTAATATGCATAATGAATATTTTACCACTGAGTGTGTGCTAGAGAATATAAAGTATATCTAAATATTATGTATGCCAAGCTATGTCAGTGTGAGCCTTTATTAACGCGCCTAATCCAATGCTTGATCGAGACTAGTTCTACTTTCATGTGTTGTAGTAACGCTGCCTCCTGCTTATGTCGTCACTCCGCTTGCTGACTTAGGTGCTGCTTCTGACAAAGGTTTGTTTTGAAACCCTTGATGAAATATAATAAAGATTAAATGCAAGGCAGTTCTGAAGAAAAAATTGTAAGGGAATATATTCCGCTTGTCTCTTTATTTCCAGGTAGATTCGGTCTTTCGACATGCTGCAATACTGAAATGTTAGTACCTAAGTCCGTAGATTTGTTACAAACTTGTTACCAGAAATCGTGACGAATGCTCCGGTCTCTGGGATGAAAGCCGTGGACATTATTCATAGCATGGATTTCAATGCCCCGACATACTCTTTATAATTTCAGCCAATAAGAAATTTGGCCACCGAAGTTGAGTGTTAAGAAGAAACATTGTTATGAGTCTAAAATCAATGCGAGTATCGGTAAAACTCATTGCTTATTATAAGTGAATGAATACATGAAGAAAAATCTCCATCCCTACAAGATTAATCGTACTGTAGATTGAAAGAATCTTTTTTTAATAGACATTATTCACATTAGTGTTAGGCATCCATGGAACCAAGAGTTTTGTCGTGATATGTTTTGTATTGAGTTGTCGTTTGACGCTCGTAAGCTAGATTTACTCCAATCCTTATAGGCTCGACCTCAGACGTTGCAACTATCCTCTCTGTACGACACATGCTTTCTTCCGTTTCTCTTAGTTTGAACGTTCAAAGTTTTAGAGATTAGGCATATAAATATTATTTGAAATATCGATTGATATTCTTGTATGGATCACAACATTCCTTACTGTATCAATCGGATAAATAACTCATTAATTTAATGTAGAAACGTCCCGTTCTACTTTAGAGCTCCCTGTAGCATACGTAAAGAAGTCACGTAGCTTAGGTGAAGATGCCGCTGTCCAGAAGAATAGTTTGTTGGCGTTATATTAGTGCTGTAATACGAGGATAAGTGAAATGCAGGTATGGTTCCAGGCTTATAGCATGTAAGACTTACTCACGTTTCCATCATTCCACAGACATCCCACATTCCATACTTAGGCATGACCTCAACATTACCAACAATAGGCTTCAATTCGGAGCGGTTTTGGATTCAAAATTTCTGTTGAAAACCTATTCTTTTTGCAAATTTGGCATGCGATTTTTTTCCTAAATGTTGAGTACCTAAGCTTTTGATTGGCAGAAGAAAGTAATTGGACTAATAAGCAAGACAACGTACGTCTCAGTTCAGCCACAGTGAGCAACGTCTCAGGAGACATCTATTTAACCCGTTACCATGTGTCATGCAATGATGTAATTGCTGCATTCCATCACTAAAATTCCAGCCATCTTCTGATTTCATCATCAATGGATGGAAAATAGACAATTCCTCATCTTTTTAGAATAAAATGCAAGACATAAAAAGAGAAAACGAATTTTATTGGATTTTCGAATCTTGGAAGAATTTTTTCAAATAAAGGAAAATACAAGGGCTATTGTATTTTCAGTGCACTTAAGTTTGAATTTTCGAGGGAATAAACATTGAAATAACATCATTTAATTGCAATGTTTAAGCCATTTATCAGGAGGTAATACTTTCATTGTTTGCTACTTAACCTCTTGCGAAAAGCGAAGTATCACATACGTAAATAATCATAAGTGTCTCCCGCGGAGCTGTCCATTGCTGATGACGCTAAAAGTCTCTTCAATAATGAATTGTTAACAGCGTGTAGGCATTCTAAGTCTTCGAATGCTCTGAAAAACTACCATCTACCAAAAACTACCAACTTTTTAACTACTGTTAGTAAAGTGCTACAGAGAACTACCAGTCGAGCTTTCTCATCACAGAATTAAAATTAGATTTACGATAGACTTAATGACACCGAATAGTTTAATGTAAGAAATCTGCAGTCATCTCGCTTGATTTACCTCTTGAATAACTATTGAAACGATAGGATAAATATGATGATATTTATTATATTTGTATGAGCAGGCCTCATGATATTCACGCTTCTGTTCATGTAACTGGTGATGAATCGTTGAACTTTATTGATAGTATACACGAGAGAAATAATATGGCTTAAAATAATGTAGTGAACTAAGAATAAATTGTGCATGCATCCAATCCGAGCCGATATTATATTTTATTTTAGATTGCAATACACACGAAATATTAATTTAATAATCAAGGAAATGACAAATAGCATTACGTCCTTTACACATCCAGACTATGTTCTTACGTTTTTCTGAATCGAATGGCTTTATCGTTAAATAAGTTCGCGGCTGGAACCGATCGGCACGGCTCATGTCTCCTAATTTATGAGACTTTCTGCAGGCATGTGGAACTAATTTTAAAAACGAACAAAATGTTTAAACAATGGTGTTCAATAATGGTTAGAAACAAACTTTGGGAAGATTTCCTGTATAGAATTTAAGACTATTTATGTTGTCAGGCTTGATCCACAACTCCGTCGAGTATCTTATATTCGAATATCAAAATACACCTAATATATAATGCTCTCATTAATTAAGTAAGTTTTGGAAAAAATGAGGTGGCGGACAAAAAAAATATCTCAGTGATCGACAAAATCTCCCATTTGACGTTGCTCTTTTGTATCTCATAATCAGCTATTTTTGATTGATTACAGGTGCAAATTATCCGCATTTTAATTAGCTATTTACATTCAACCTCATCACCTGAATTTTTAAAATTATTAAACGTGTACGGCTGCTAATGGTTGCGCAATTATTATGTCATCCTACCGTAATTAAATATATAAGAAATTGGCCTACATATATGAGTAAATTCAACCGTACACATATTTCAACTTGTACTCGTATTCAGTTATTTACTAGAACTTTTCTTTCATAACAAGTGTGCCATTTTCCTTTTATCAATAGATCGTTCAATTATCAATGTTCATAACATAGTGGTTTCTGACACAATATTGGTGAGTGGGAATCTTTGATATTAATAGGCGATTGACTGTCATCTAAATAAGATCGCTGAATACTTGTTTTCCAGTTTTCTGTCACAAACTTAAGTGCATCTAAAACGTTGCTTAAATTGCACTTCGGGTCAAAATTAGTGCAGCCAGAAAATTCCAACTATTTTCAACTTTCAAATCGATTACTTTCATTTCAACAGAAATGAAATTACTCGATTTGCAATTAACGGACTTGCAAGAAGAAAGTGGTTTTTTCAAAGCATAATCATCATTTTATTTGTTCGTAAGCAAACGCATCAGAAAGAGACTTCATGAATGCTTAAATGAATTTTCCAAGACAAAAATGGCCAACAATATGTCGTTATGATTACCTTTCATCAAATACCAATATTTCAACTACCTGGGGCAACAATTTCATACTAGAGACACTTTTAGACATGGATGCCGCAGTTCGAAATGCCGCTCATGTGGCATCCGACAATTAATTTACAATTCAGAGCTACTTTAATTACAATAAATATGATTCATTTTTTAATGGAAATTATTAATGAGGTGAATATGAAAAGCAACTCTACATACTAGAACGGAGAAAAATATGGAATTTGACTTACATACTACTCACGCGAACAAAATATAGGCTTACTTGACCATACGTTAAGTGGCGAAATATCCTTTCTACCAAATTTTGTAAGTTGCGAAACAAATTTCTTTGTGATTGTCTTTCTGTGAAATTTGCTGGATTGAATATTTTCCAGTTTATTCAAATTCTTTACTGTTTTAGTCTCATGTTACACATCAAATTACACGTTTCAATCATTTCCTTGCAAAAATATGTACAATCACTTCAGAACCAAGGGTAAATGAGAAAAAACACCGTGAAGTGTTGTAGAATTTTTAGCACTCCTGATTTGTAAAGAACAACAATTAAAATATAACATAAGAGGAAATGACCTTAAATATTAAGCGCAAGTAACTTGGAACCCATGTCGGGCTTTCCGAAATAATATTGTGTTTAATTGCAAAAGAAACCCTCAAATGCCTCGTTTGTTTTAATGTCCTAACGGGACGGGTATCAAACCTAAAGAAAAAGCCCTTATTGATATTTTTTCTATTTAACGCTTCTTCGGTGAATAAAAACGACAAGTGTATCAACGATCCCTCATGAAAATTTATCCACATATATCGATAATTCTTACAAGGAGGACCTTAATTTTAATTCATCTTACATTATCCAAGTTTTTTTAATAAAGATTGATAGTTTCGCTTTTTTCTCTTGCCACAATCGAACTCTAACGTGGAACGAACGATTTACGACGATCCTGTTCCTGCCGAAGCCAGGGTTACCAGATGGGACTTTTACGGCCAAAATGCGACAATTGTTGCCTTTTTTCAAATGCGTCGCCGGCAAAAATCTATAAAAGTTTTGATATACTTGTATTTTTTGATGGATAAAAACGATTTCGGCTCATTTTATAATATGCGAAACATTGAATTCCTTCACCGCAAAGTACAAATTTCCCATTAATGTGGAGTGCGTTTTTGGGCCTTTTTGTGACCTGGTTGGCCGTTTTATCCTGCATCTGGCATCCCTGGGCCCGCACGTAATTTTTGATCTGCGGCTTCTAGGTCTAAGCTGAGTAAAGTTAATGCGTGATGAAGCTAGGCGTTGGTTCCAGGGCTTTAAGAGTAAAGTTTGTGGCCTACGGCTGCGCCCACCGAGTGGCAGCGTATTGAGTGGACTGCGTTGACTCCCGGCTCAGTTTTATTGATCAGCGTTTGCGGCTGTAGGTAGTGGTCGAGAATCCGTCTCGTGAATTTAGCTGGAATGTCGTTAATTTTATTAATCAACTTCCTGTCTATCATTTCGAGTAATTAGGTGCAACTGTGGTACCGGTCTCGATTTCTTTCTGAGAGGCGGGTAAGCGTAATGTCTGATAGCTTAGAATTTTGTCTACCTATTTTATGCTGCTATCAAGGGATGCGGTAATACTAGGTATGAACTGGCTCAACACCAATGGCTGGGATGTAAATTACTACAATTTATATAACTTTCCTTGTGTTCCTTGGAGGCACATTCCTCAATTGAGTTGTGCCCTGTGAACAGTCTCTGCGGACTGAATTGGTTTTGCAAGGCAATGAAGGCATGACGAAACATAACGTCGCTGCTGGTCGTGGGCGGAGCAAGGCGCTCTGCGGCGCTCTCCTACCGGTTTGCCAGCAGCAACATAATGATCAATGGAGACGGTAGCTGGCATTGGTATTGCGCGGCGAGGCTCTGTTGTTTCTGTTAAGTTAGGGTGGGGTTATTTGAGGTGGAATTGGGCTCTGTATTTTAAGTCTACCTACGTACCTGGTAATGATATGAATACGAAGGAAAGGAGTCTAGTTTTTCCCCATTGGTCGAATGCAACAATAACTGACGCTGAATTTTTGAATTGACACCGGCAGCCTAAATTTCGTCACGCCTCGACTGTGATAACAAGAGGATGCGCGGAGGTTGACTTCGTCCGTCGTCGACGGGCATGTTGCGAACTTTCATAGACTAGAAGAGAACACGCCAGAGCGGCCAAGCACGACTATTTTGTTTGATAAGCAAATGGTTATTTGTGTTGTTTGGCTTGTGAATGAACGTAAATGGACCACCTAATGGACTTTATTTTTAGCAACACAATTTAATCTCGAAAGTCGCAACTCTTTTGGATCAGGTTTCAATCCATTTTCACTGACAAGTCATATATAGACCGCGATAGCCCATGTACGTGTGTTGCCCGCTCTCCCGCAACGTGTACAATTTGGTGGCCAGTATGGGGGTATATCATAATTTAGGAGATGCATTTAGGAGTACCGTCTGTTATTTTTCGTCTTGTTATTGACGCCTTATATGGTTGGTGACTGATGGGCATGTATAACCTTAGTGAGGCGTAGACACGGTTATAGTCGCCTCTATTGTTCGTTCAAATTGGTCGTTGTAGCTGTGTTCCTTGATTTATTTGTTGACCTTTAAGACCTGCAGATTTGCAAATAGTCACTTGAATCTGATGTCGTCGCGATTGCTGAGCTGTAAGTTGAATCTGGAAGCCGTCATAATTGAGCTGCAGCGTGAAAATATGAAAACTGAACTTCTGACGTGCCTAACCGGGCGGAGCCAGAGCGAAATGGTGGGCAATCGCGTTAGGGCATCTGCAGCGGCCGAAGATTTTCGAAAACTGGTCTTCACCAACTCGAACAAAAAATGGTGTAAAAATAAAATATGTGGAGAAAGCGGCCACGTTTCGGGGAAGTGCGCGCAAGGTAGGTGCTACCCTTGCCACCAGCCCAGCGTTGCCAGATGGTATATTTCTATACCAGATTTCACAAATCTGGTATTTTCATAAAGTGTCTAGTATGAAAATTTTGATCTGGTATATTTACCTTAATCTGGTATTTTTCTGGTATTTTCAGACCTACTGCAAATTTACTGCATTAAGTTCCACTCGTAAGTTTGAACATCCTCCAGAGTAGGCGTGGATTTCAGAGCGGCGCGACTAGAGGTTTCCTGCCATTTTTGGAACCGTTAGTTTACCGCATGATGAAATAACCCCAATCTAATTGTTAACATTTAACAAAAGTGCTTAGTGCAATATAAGCACGAGAGTGATGGTCCTTGATTTTTAGCGCATTTTCTCATTTATGGAAAAAAGACGCTATTGTGCTCGTCATGTCCGTCATTCCGTCCGGCTGTCCGTGACTTCAAGTTTTCGTCGACGAGAAAATGCGATCTCTGTCACTCACTTCAGTGAGTACTAGTTATATTATTTTAGAATTCAACATCCAGTGTAACTGAGGACATCAAAAATACTGTAGTCTTCGGAGGTCAAGTTTATAATTCCTGACCCCTGCAATAGTGTTTAGCCCCAGCCGCCGTGTTACTGCGGAGCCTGGCGAGAGCAACGGACGCCGCGTGATGCTCCGCCCCTCTATTTTGCGGGTGGATAGCTAGAGGTCAGCATAGCCCAAGTCCACAGTGCGAATCATATACCTTCCCGAGCGTAACGCAGCCGGGCATCTTCACGACTTTTGACGCAAAGCGCCCGCCCATATAAGTTCAGTCACAGGCCGCAGCACATACAGGCCGGAGCGCAGCAGGCCCTATCGCAACAGCTACTCCTAACGTAACCTAACCTAACCTGCGCCGCCTGTTGCGGTAGGGCCTGTTGCGCTCCGGCCAGTTGGGCTCCGGCGCTGTGAAGTAGTGGCTGTGTTGTGCAAAGCGGATTTACTGTTAGCCGGAGTTACCCACAGCTCATTGATCTGAGGCTATGTCTAGATATTGCATGCTGAGCCTGATGGTTGGCGTTAGGCCCAGGGCCTGTTTACGAGTCAATTTTGTTACCCACGGCTGCGCTCCCTATTTTGCAGGGAATAACCTCCATGTTTTCTCCGCGGCATAAAAGCCGGTCCACGCGCTCAGTTTTCACGATTTGTCTGCGCAGTTTTAAGTCGGAATGAAATCGTTGCAATTTATAGAGCGTCCACATGGTGTCGACTTATCGGAGTAGTTTGCTCAGTTTTGCGCGATCTCGCCATGGAGACGTCTTGGACAAATTTACGGCCGGACTTGCGGCCGGCCTCCCCAAATTCGGTGAGCATGGAATATCTCCCAAAGTAATGAACGTAGCTCGAAAAACTTGGTACACGTATTCATTAGGACTTAAAGGTGATGTTAAGCTCGTGAACATTTTTAGAATTTCACCTTCATTCGTGAGTTATATGACGATACGTGCCAAAATTTGCAGTGAGCATGACATTTCTTCTTAACTACTGTACAGATTTGAACGAAACTTTGAATATACATATAACCCCTAACCTCCCAACAGCGATGTTTAGCTCGTAACAATTTCTTAGATTAGATAAAGCCGTATAACTCGCAAACGAAGGCAAAATCGAAAAAATTGTCACGTGCCAAACATCACCGTTAAGTCCTAATGACTACGTGTGCCAAGTTTTATCGAGCTACGTTCATGACTTTGGGAGATATTCCATGCTCATCGAATTTGGGGAGACCGGCCGTAAATTTGTCCAAGACGCGCCATGGAGAAGACAGTATTTTGATAAATTTTGGCATTGTGCCTTAGTATAGTATAGTATCTTCGGCATTAAAGAATAGGCCTGGATAGGCCTTTCGCCTATTCTTGTACTTTTCTTGACTAGACTGGCCTTTTGATCGGATCTTTTCAACACACGGTAGATTAAAAGTCGCTTCTAAATATCAGTTGTTCCGTAGGGTACGAGGCATTTTAAGACTAAACATATGCTCATGCATGGCCTTGTCTAGTCTGTTCTTAAACGCGTTCATACTCGGAGCGTCAACAATATCTTCAGGAAGGCTGTTCCACATGTCAGTGACTCGAAGCGAGAAGAAATGTTGTCGCGTGGATAAGTTGAACCGCAGTTTTTTTAGTTTATAGCTGTGGCCCCTGGTGTTTGTTCTTGTTTCAAATTCTAGTAATCCTTCTGGGACCTTGTACAAACCATGAGTATACTTGTATACTTCAATGACAATGAGGTCACCACGCAGGCGACGATAACGGAGACTGGGATGGGAAGCTTCATAATCTTCAATCTTTCTTCATAAGACTTGCTCTTGCTGTTCATTGTTCTTGCCGAGGTTAAGTACTTTACACTTGTCAGCATTGAAACGCAGCTGCCACGCATCAGCCCAGTCAACTAAACTATCAAGATCATTTTGCAGTTGCATTTTATTTGACGCATCCTTAACTGTATTATAAACTTTTGTGTCATCGGCATACATAGAGCACACGCTTGACACTACTTCTGGTAGATCGTTTATAAAAGCGACGAACAAAACAGGTCCGAGAACGCTTCATTGCGGTACCTACGCCACTGCGCACAGTTACCCAGTCTGATACGGTTCCGTTAATGCTGACACGTTGTTATCTGCCTACTATCAAATTCCTGATCCATTTGGAGTACATTTCCCTCTATTCCCAAAGAACTCACTTTACGTAACAGTCGCTCATGCGGAAGACTATCAAATGCC